GATTCCCATACCTTTTAACTTAAAATTACAAGTCTAAAATCACTCAACTTTACATTTGTCATTCAAATCACAAGTTAATTCCATTCTCTAAAATGCCAGATTCTCTGAAATATATCAAATACTTTAAATATCACATAGTCAAAGATAATTCCGAAACACCACACAGAAATATTAGGACAATGGGTTCAGCATCTCTATACTTAATTTGAAGTTTTCTCAGGAATAAAAGACGCTTACCCACTAAGGAAACTACACTGTTTCAAGACATTTGGGGTGAACCCAGTGGACTAAGCTTGTTTATTAGCCAAAGATTTGGGCAAGGATGTAAGATCTGGAGCTACGGACATGGAAAGGGATTTTTCTCCTGACTCAGGAGGGAGGGTTGAGCCCACCTACAGTCCCAGTGTTATTAGGGACCCCAAGTGTACACCCTCCAAACAGGGTGCCTCATATCCCACTCCCCTAGTTCATGTATGACCCAATTCTCAAGTTTCTTCACCTCTAGACCAGATTTTTTTTGGTGCAAGAATCCAAGATAGCCATAAATTGTGTTTTCTGTGTACAAAAGCTGCCCTCATAGGTAAAAAACAAAACCAACAAAAAACAGCCCAGTGACAACACTAACAGGATTTTTTTTATTTTGGAGGAGTCTGGGGAAATGCATCCTCAATTACAAATAAGTGGCTGACAATTTTTCTAGGGCACAGCCCACTTCTACAATGGGGACTGTCACCAGACAGAAAGGACTGTCACAGGATGGGACTGTCAGTGTATGGAGAGGACTGTCAATGTACAGAGGGGACTGTCATCGGATGGGGGTACTGTCACTGGATGGAGGGGGATGCACTAGCCCCAACTTGGGACCCCGTGTGGGGATGTGGCCTGGAGCACCCCTCTCTCAAACCTTATAGGGATGACTAAGCATGTCTGCTTCAGGGGCGCTGGGGATGCACGAATGAGAGCTCCCCTCCTCTGACCCGACACCTGACTGAGAAGTAACTGCGGCCTCTTCCTTAATTTATCAAGAAAGAACACGTCACCCACCTCCTCAGTGTGAGTAGTCATGACTCACAGGCTGAACTCAGGTTTGTGAGGAAAACAGCTTTAATTCCCACATTTCGGTGCGCTTGT